CCTCCTGCCTCAGCCTCCCTAGTGCTGGGATTACAGGCATGTGCCACCACGCCCGGCTCTTCAGGTGTTCATTTTTGAATTGGGTCTTTAAATTTGGGGGGGTCTGACTTTTTAAAGTTCTTTACATATACTAGAAAGTAATCCTTTGTCTGAGGAACAGCTGATAAAAAATTTTTTCCACATTGTAGGTTGTCTTTTAGCTGTGTTTGTGGTTTCTCTTGCAGTGCGGAAGCTTTTTAATGAGATCCCAGTTGTTAATTCTTTGTGCTAATTCCCGTGCTACTGATGTTTTGTTCATAAAGCCTTATTTTATGCTGATGTCTTCAAGAGTTCTATCTTCCAGTGAGTTTAGTGTTTCTGTTTTAATATTTAGATCTTTAATCCACTTTGATTTTAGTTTAGTGCATGGTGATAGATATGGGTCTAGTTTTAATCTTTGGCAGGTTGAAATCATTTTTTCCAAAACCATTTATTAAAGAGACTTTCTTTCCTCCAGTGAAGATGGTTGGCTCCTTTGTCAAAGGTGAGGTAGCTGATATGTCTGAAGTTGTTTCTGCAACTTCCAATCTATTCCACTGTTCCTCAGGTCTGTTTCTTTTCCAGCACCATGCTTTTTTATTACAGTGGCTTTGCAGTATAGTTTCAAGCTGGGGATTGTGATATTCCCTGTCATGTCTCTGTGCCTAGAATGGCTTTTGCTATTCTAGGTCTCTTCTGGGTCCAAATGAATTTTTGGATTGTTTTCTCTAGTTCTGTGAAATATACTGTTGGGATTTCAATCGGGCTTGCATTAAATCTGTATAGCAGTCTTGGAAGTATGGCCATTTTCACTATATTGGTTCTTCTACCTAGGAACAAAAATGTCTTTCCATTTTCTTATATCCTCTTCGATCTCTTTTTTTAGTGCTATAGTTCTCAATGTAGAGGTGTTTTGCTTCCTTCATTAGATTCATTCCTAGGTATTTTTTTATGCTATTGTGAAAGGAATTGTTTCCCTAATTTCTTTCTCAGTGAGTCTGTTATTTGTGTATAAGAAGGCTATTGATTTTTTTAGTGTTGACCTTGTCTTCAGCTACTCTACTAAGCAATTAAGTCTAAAAGTCCTTTGGCAGTTTTTTGGGTCTTCTATGTAGAGTATCATATCATCCCCAAATAATGACAGTTTAGTTTTTCTTCTTATCTTTATCCACTTTCTTTCTTTCTCTTAATTGCTATAGTTATGTTTCCAAAATGATATTGAACAGGGTGGTGGTAGTGGACATCCTTGTCTTGTTCCTGATTTTAGCATGAAAGTTTTCAGTTTTTCTCCAGGTAGTATGATGTTGGCTGTTGGTTTTTCATAGATAGCCTTGGTCAGGTTGAGATAAAGACCTTCTATTCCAGTTTTCTGTAAGGTTTTTTTTTATCATGAATGGGTGCTGGATTTTGTCAATGTTTTTTCTGCATCTATTGAGATGATCATATGGTTTATGCTTTTGGCTCTGTTAATATAGTGTATTACATTAATTGATTTACATATGTTGAACCATCCTTACATCCTTAGGATAACTCTGACTTGGTTAGGGTATATGATCTTCTTGGTGAACCTCTGTATTCTGTTGTTTTGGTTGTTTAGAGGGGGTCTGGGTGTGTAGTTGAGGGTTGTCTTGAATTTATGTAGCCTATGCTGGCCTCAAACTTGTGGCGATGCTCCTGCCTCAGCCTCCTGAGTTCTGGGATTATAGGCGTGGACCACCTTGCCCAGCTTGATCTCAGCTGATTACACTTCGGGTAATTTGGAACTACATTTTGTACTATAGAAACAAGATTTGTGTGCCATGAATCTAAAGATTTCCTAAGAAAGGAAGGCTATAGTTTGTTTTAGTCATGTAAAAGGTTGATAGTCCTAGAGACAGGTGACAATTTGTTAAAATAGTCTGGAAAAATTACTTTATAGTGAAAGATTAGGCCACAGAGCAAAAATGAGAATGATGCCATGGGCTGACATCAGAAACCCTCTAGTTAAGGCAAGTGTATTTGTGGGAGCCCGCTGGCATTTGACATTGGAAAAGTAACTTCTACCATTGAGGCATTGACACAATCTATGACTCTATTTGGCTTTTCTGAGATGAGGGTCTCAGCTATGCAGATGAGATTGACCTGGAGCTCTCTGTGTAATCCAGGCTGAGCTCACTGTGTAATCCAGGCTGGGTTTATGGGATTACGGGTGTCGACCTGGAGCTCACTGTAATACAGACTAGTTTTATGGGATTATGGGCGTGCACCACCACGCCCGGCAAACAATACCACTGGACTCGTCAGGTTGAGTGGGGCCTTCGCCTTTACATCAGCGGCCGTGATCCGGGTCTCACCTTTTCCATCAGGCTTTTGAAAGAACCACCTCAGTTCAAACCCATTGCCATTGGCCCCAACCCCCTTCTTTAAGAATGTTGCTTTTTTAAAGATAAACTGGGCCTGGTGGATGATAGCATTAGAAGGGTTGAGGAAAGCCTCGAACAAAGGCAGAAGCAACGGGAAAAGGACGAATCTTGGTATCAAAATTGGTTTTCCCCTTGCCCCGCTTGCCCCTGGAGATTGTTAAGTTAAAGATTGCATAGGGTTAATTGTTGATGTACGCCTTCCCACTTACCCCTCCCCACATTTGGTAAAATACTGATTGCTGTATGCTGATAAATGCTTTGTCCCTTTATGGTTAAATGCTTGAGTGACTCATGTGATTGGTAGAAGATTTGTTTGAACTGTCCAATAAGCTTGCTGAACCTTCCCCCTGGGATAACAGTATATAATCGTTTTGCTGAGCCAATAAAGAGCCTTTGATCAGAAATCAGACTTGGGCCATGTGCTCTAACTTCTTAAAGATTTCCTTCACAGACATTCAAGATCGGATCGGCCTCTGATGACCCACGAATAAGAGGCGGCTCTCACCTCCTATTCCCCGCTGGACGGGGTCCCCCCAGAGAGCCGCATGTATTTCTTTTTTTTTTTTTAACTGTACCAGTCAGCGTTTACTAGAGAAACAGATATAGCACAAGATATATAAATATATAAGAATTTATAGTTTGGCAAGGATTGGGCATGTAGCTCAATGGCACTGCAAGTACAAGGTCCTGAGTTCAATCCTTGAGACCAAAATTTAAAAAGAAAAAGAAAAATAATTTACAAACTGGCTTCACAGCATTAGCTGTGAAAGAGTGCAAAAGGTCAGTCTGTGCACTGGGGATCTGAAAGATCAAATTGGAGCCCTGGAGAGTCTGCACCAGAAGGCTGAAGGGTGAAAGCAAAGACTGGATCTATAAGTAAGACCCTGTCTCAAAAAAAAAAAAAAAAAAAAAAAAAAAAAACACTAAAGTAAATGCAAAGGAATTTAAATTATCCCATGCATATTATCAGATTATAGTTCAGTGAAATTAGAAAACAATGCCAAAAGAAACCAGAAAAACTACATAAACCCATGGAAATCAACAGCCTCCTGAACAACCAATGAGTTACAGGTGAAATTTAAAAAGAAATTAGACAATTTCTACAATTGAATGATAATGCCAAATAACATATCAGAACTTATGGGCCTCAATGAAAGCAGTCCTATGAAGAAAATTTATGGTGGTAAATGCCCACATCAGGAAAACAACAAACTCAAATAACTTAATGTTGAACTTCAAGATTCTAGGAAAAGAGTGATTTAAACCCAAAGCACATATAAAGATAGAAATTATAAAGATCAGAGCAGAAATTAATACAATTGAGACTAAGAATAATACAAAGAACCAGTGAAACAAAGAATTGGTTCTTTGAAAGACTAAATAAAATAGACAAACCCATAGCCAATCTTATCAAAAAAAGGAAAGAAAAGACTCAAATCTATCCAGTTAGTAATGAAAAGGGTGAAATCACAACAGACTCTGCAGAAATTCAGAAGATCATCAATACCTACTTTAAGAGCCTGTAGTCTAATAAGATGGAAAGCTCAGAAGAAATGGACAGATTATTAGGTATATATGAGTTTTAGAAGCTGCATCAAGAAAGATATAGGGCCAGGGGTTTAGCTCAGTGGTTCCGCTGCCTGCCTCGCAAGCGCAAGGACCTGAGTTTGATCCCTGGTACCAAAAAAAAAAAAAAAAGAAAATATAAAAATTTTAATAACCCAATGTCAGTCAATGACTGGAAAAAGAAAGTGTGAGGTGTTTTTTTTTAATAAAATGGAGTATTACTCAGCCATAAAGAATGAGAAACTATAGAGATTTATAGCTATATGGATGCACATTGAGGGCATAGTCAAGTGAAATAAATAGGACACTTATGTAAATATCAAAAAGTTTTTCTGGTGTGAGAAATTAAAAGTGTAAATAAGGATTAAAATGAATAATTGATAATGTGAAATAGGAAGAAAAGTTGCAAAGGGTTAGGGGAAGTGGGAGTGGTAGGGTAAAGGAAAGAAGGAAAAGGAAAAATGGAAACAAAATCTTTGAAATAGGGAGGGGTGGAGGAGTTGAAGGGAGGGCAGGATAATGGGGAAAAAATAAGAACCAAGATACACCATGTAAAGGTACATGTTCCAATGATAAATATAAATGTATTGTATGCCTAAAATGTACCAATAAAAGAATGTAAGGAAGAAAAAAATAAAACAAAACAAAAGAATCAGCTGGGATCAAAGGTACTACCAGAATCATAATGTTTAATCAAAGAGGAAAGGTGCCACCAGGCATGGGGTTGTACACCTGTAATTTCAGCTATTCAGGAGGCTGAGACAGGAGCAGTTCAACTTTAAGGCTAGTCTAGGCAACTCAGAAAAACCCTACCTCAAAAAAAAATTTTTTTTTCCAGTACCAGGAATTAAACTCAGGGCCTTGTATTTGCCAGGCAGGTGCAGCACCATTGAGCTACATACATGGCCCCTGCCTTAAATTTTTAAAACGAAAAAAGCCAAAATAGCCTGGGGACATAGCTCAACACTCTGGATTCAATCCTCAGTACCATTAGAAAGGAAAAAAGGTGGGGGGGATGGGGCCACCCGTGGCTGGTACAGTCTCCTGTGAGCCTATAGATCTTTGTTGGTGGGCTGGTCTGATACTTTTATTCAGATTCCGTACCCTCTTCCCCTTCCATTCCTCAAACCGAAGCCCTGTCTCTTTCCTTTTGCTTTCCGGTAAAAGCTTTCTGCCTGCACATTCATGCCTCAGTTGTATAGTATCCCTGAGACAAAGATCCAGGCTAGCTGGTGATGCTCGGCTCCTGACAGCCTCTGGAGGAACCTAGGTAAATACTCCCACCCTCTTCCAAGTGTCTCTAGGCAGTCTCTCCGGACCCCTCTCTCCTGTTTCCACCTTCTTTTCTTCTGTCTCAGATTGTTTCCCTCTCTAGAAGATCCCAAGCGTCAAAAGATCCATTACAGGTGGGGTGTGATGCTAGGCCTGGTCAGCAAGAGTGTTCAACAGACTCCGGCAGCGCTCCCTTCTCTCGCCAGCAGGGGGTGCACTGGGCCTGAACAGCCGTTGCCTCCGGAGCCACCGAGTCCCAGAATGCCCTGCGCTCCGTCGCTGGGTTTGGGGACCCCCCCCCACACGGATAGTCTGGGAGCTCGGGTGGCTGAGTGAGCAGGTAAGGGAGGTTCCCGCGGGGCCGCCAGGGACGGTTGGCGGCACGGAGGCTGAGGAGACCGCCAGGACCATGGCAGCGCCGGTCCGGGTAA